CGTCACGTCGCAGGGCTAGAAAGCTGGTGATGGTGATGGCCGTCGAGAGAGTGTGGAGTCCACACTGTGGCGTCCGCGGCCAGGCGGCCAGCACTGCCTGTGAGGCACACGCCCATCACGGGCATCATGAGCCTGCCGCGCGTCTGTCTGCGGGTGCGGTTGGTGCGGTGCGTTCCGGCCTCGGCCCGCACGTACTCGTCGTACTCCTGAGCGGCAACGCCGCAGCGCTGCCAGCGCCGGCGGCGTGCCGGGACTGCAGGGGGCGGCACCGGCTGCACCCCTTTCGCTTTTAGGGGTGCGGACAGCCGACTCGCTCCGTCTCCCTCGCACTCGAGGGGCGCTCCGTCGGAGTGCGAGAGAGACAGCGCGGGGCGGCCAGTGCGTGCCGAACGGCCGAACCGCCGCCGGCTTGGGGTAGGGAAGGGAAGGCAGGGGGTGGCGACGGCTGGCATCGCAATCCAACGGGCCCAAAGTTTGCAAAACTTTGTGCTCTGGTTTTGCGCGGTTTGCGCTAGAGGCCGGCTCGCCAAAGGTTGCTCCCGTTTCGAATGGAGGCCGGGAAAGGTCGCTAGCACCCTCTGGTGGGCGAGGACGGCCCCGCGCGCCCCGCGGCGTGGCCCCGATAGCTTGACTGCAGGGGTGACATTTTGACATTTTGGCGGCCGCAAAGGACACAGGACTCCCCCGCCGTGGCGCCGTGGGGGCCACGCTGTGCGCCGCTGTGGCATCCGCCGGGCCGCCAACACCACCGCGTCCTCGGCCGCGTCGGCGTGGTGGCGGTGGTTCAAGCCGAACCGAAATGAGGTAACCCGGGCACGCTGGAGCCGGCCTTCAGCCGCCCGCTTCAAGACCAGGCGGTGGCAGTTCACGACTCTCTGAGAGAATATCGGTAATGCCCGTTTAATTAATTACCATGAATTACCTCGTCGGCCGGCGAGCGGCCTTGGTTCCCGCGCCATTGACACGGCCAGGGCGAAAGCCGCAAACAGCAAACAACAACAACAACAGCAAAGCTTTAATCGGCCGTTTGCTCTGCCCGTTCGCCGGCTATTATTGCCTGCGATTTTCGCAGGCACGTGCCCGCTCTCTCGGTCTCCGTCGCTCTGCCTGCCTCTCTTGCGGGTCACCCGCCAGAGCCCCGCGAGGTCGGGGAGGTCGAGGAGGCCGTGGAGGCCGGCAGCCCCGTTTCCTCCCATCCTCCCGCTACTACTCTTCGCCTTGACTCTTCATTCTTTTTCGGGGTTTCGTTTTGTCTGAGCGACCCGGAGCGCGGGAGTTACGCCGCCGCCGTTTCCGCGCGCCGAGCACGCGGCACCGCGCGGCACGAGGAGGCGTACGCCGGGCGGGGCGGGGCGGGGCGGGCGGGGCGGGCGTGGTATAATATGCCGCAAGACTGCCTCTGTGTGCGTCATAAACGAAAACGAAATGACTTATCCAAGGCGCCGCACCACTCGCACGCCAGCAGACGCGTCTCCACACTGTACTCCTCCTGGCCGGGTAGCTGGGTAGAGGGCGGTGAGGCGGTACACTGTATTCGGCATGGCTTGGCCGTCCTTTCCACGACCGCGCCGCCACGCCGCGCCACGCCACGCCCTAGCGGCGACCTCCACAGGGCACAGCGCCGCGCAGCCGGGCTCCCTCTAGTGCCCTTCCAAGGCCCGAAGCGTGCCGAATGCAGCAGCAGCAGCAACAACATCAACAACAAGAGGAACAACTACAACAACAGTACAGTAAAGGTTAGGCATGGCCAGGTCGTGCTCCGGCGCCACCCCCGCCCCCAACGCCTCGTCTCGAAAAGTAAACCCTCCGAGTTGCATCTTACTGCCCCAGGCGCGCCCATGGTTTTATTTTTCGCAGTGCCTCAAAGCAGAAAGTCGCAGTGGTCAGTGGACGGGGCGTCCCTCCGACTGCGTGCTCGAACCGCGCTGGAAGTTTTGGCCACGCCGCGACCGAGCCGTGAGCCGTCACGGGCCAGGTGTCATGTTTGCATAGACGAAGCAGTCTGGTTTCGACGCTGGGCCTGTCCGTCTGTCTGTCTGTCCGTCCGCTGGGCCTTCCCTGCCCTGTCGCGGGCGCCAAGGCTTCTTGAGTAAGCCACCGGTCCTAACTGCAGCGATTACCGCGCGAACCGCAATCACGACTTGAATCTGGTTTACATTGCAGGTCGCTTCGGCTCGGCTCGGCCGGCTCGGCCGGTCCGCACCCGAAAGCAGCCGAAGTAGTGGCCCGGCGTGGTGGTCGCGGTGGGCACCGCGGTGGTGGGCATCATGGTGGCGGGCACGCTCTGCTGCACAGAGTGCCACCGGCGCGACGCAATGTGTCGGCGGGGCGGGGCGGGGCGGGGCGGGGCGGGGCGGGGGGGTGGGGCGGGGCGGGGTCAGCGCGCCGTGCTGTCGTGATGCTGCTCCGGGCTAAGCTTCCAGAGGCCCTTTTGAACCTCGACGCCGTGGCGCAGGCCTTCCCCGGGCAAGGACGCGGCGACAGGACGCGGCGTGTCCTCGGCGGCGCGCTCGGCGGGGAGGAAGAGGAAGCCGTAGAGGGGCGGGGCGGGGCGGGGCGGCTTAATCGAGGCGGCCGAAACGCACCTCGGCCTCCTCCACTTGCCTCAGAGTCCGGCAGTCTCGGGGTCTGGCCCAGGCTCGCGCCCAGGCTCGCGCCCAGGCTCGCGCCCAGGCGCCCAGGATGGGGCGGAGGTTGAGGTCAAGTGGAGCAAGCGGAGCAAGCGGAAAGGACGGCCAGCGGAGCCATTCGTCGCTGTCTCTCTCGCACTCGCGGGCGTTCTCCGGGCGTTCCCTGGAGGTGCGAGAGAGGCGGAGCGACGGAGCGCCGAGCGGAATCAGTCGGCCGGCCGGCCGGGCGGCGGGCAGTGGGCCGAGGATTCGCTTTGCATCCAGTCCGCGGCGCGTGGCGGCCGGAAAAAAGAGGGGGGGCAAGAAGAACACGTGCTTGACCTGAGGCGCCCTGCAGTGCGAGAGAGACAGGGCGACGAAAGCGCTGCGCTGCAGGGCGGCTGCAATGCCCTCATCGCGGTGCTGCACTCGTCCGCCAGCACACTGTACGCCCCCATGGCTGATACGCAGCCCTCCCCGCCGACGCTCTGCCTCATTACCAACTATCAGCTAACGTCGGCGACGTCGGCGAGGTGGGTGTCTCCGTCTCTCTCGCACTCGTCGGGGCGCGAGGGCGACGAGGCACCGCGCCGTGTGAGTGTGTGTGAGTGCGACCGCGGCGGTTGGCAGTGTGCGGGCGGAACTGCAGTTTAGAACGCCGCCGCGCCGTTCCTCCGTTCTGTATATATATACGTGCGAGCGACCGCGCTACCGCCTCGGCTTGTCGTACTCGCGCTCCGCGAAAAAGTGGCTCACATCGCTCATACGCGTCGCGCAGCGCGCTGCGCGTTCGAGGCCGTCAACTTTTATCCCTTTACTTTACTGCCACCGGGCCGACGAGCCCGACGAGGGCAGGACGACAACGCGCTTCGCCCGCTTCGCCGTTCGACCTCTCCCGCGGCATTCCCTGCGGCCAGGACGTCCACCTTTCAGAAAAACTCAGTCGCCGCGGTGCAAAGTCAGTGCTGTCGCACAGTGGGCCGGAAGACCGGAGGAGGCGGCCAAAACTCTAGACGCGTTTTGAGCTCCAGAGTCGCTAAACAGGACTCGAACCGAGCGTGTGACCCCACCAATGGATTGCTCTCCGAACGAGGAATCCATTGGTGGGGTCACACGTTCGGTTCGAATTTAGCGACTCTGGAGCGCAAAACGCCTCTAGAGTTTTGTCCGCCTCCATCGGCGCGGAGATGATCTCGACTGCTGCCAGCGTGGTTAACGTTTTTAGCAGGGTGGAGTACAGTACCGTGCATACCCAAGCGCGTGACGGTGCGCGCCGCCCCGCCCGCCGCGCCCCTCGGCCCGCCCCCACCTGCTCCCTGCTCCAGCTGTGTCGCCGCCACGCCGCTCTACACGCCGCGCGCCACGCCGCCTGTCCGCGTGCAGTGTTGCCAACCGCACAACAAAGCACGTCGACAAAGACGAAACCCCCAATCTGGAGTACCAGAGTATCACGACCACGGCACTGCCAAGGCACTGCACAGCACGCGTTGCAGGAAAACAAGCCTGGCCGCCCTGACTGCCAGATAACCCGTCGATGAGAGCGCGAGCCGTGGCCGGCACGCCGAGGGCCGCCGAGGGCCCGGCTTACTGCCGGCTTACTGCTTAGCGACGGTTCGACGGCACACTCGAGACTCGAGACGAGATGCCGAGTGACGTGTCGTGACGTCGGCGTGTTTGATACGGAGCTGTCCGACCAGTTTAGCCGGGCATTGCTCTGAACCTGAAAGCGTTTCGCGCTCTGCTGTCCTTTCGGACTTCGAAGGGACAGCCCTTCGGACGAGGAGGCCATTGATGCCCTCGGGTGTTTGATTCGAGTCCCTCTCCGCAATGCTGCGCGCCCCTACGCCCCCCGCCCCCCGACCACGACGACGGGGCCCGACGGGGCCCCCGGTGCCCCATCCCATTCATGGAGAGGCACGCACAGAGTTTTCGTTGCTAGATGGCTAGATAGCTTAATTAGTCGCGCATGCTGATGAGGCTGGCGCATTCCTTTTATTCCACTCCTCCAGTGGGCTGGCAGTGCGAAGCAGTGTGGTGCGAGGCGTTGACGGAGTGGCCTGCGGCCTGCGGGTTGTCGGTTCGAATCCACGTCGCGCCGAAGCCGTTTACCCCGCCTCCGTCTCGTAATTGGATTCGGGTGAATCTGCGTCGGCAGCGAGTTCCGGCGGCTTTCTGTGGCGGTGTGTGGCGTGTAGTCTGCGGGCTTTGACATTCCCTTTACCACAGACAGGGTGGCGCCAAACGCCCCCAGCTCGCAATCGCGAAGTGACCACGAGGCGGGCTTCTGGACCACCAAACACAAGCAACCCGCACTGTCGGCGAGACCGTGAACCGGCCCCTCGCGTTGCCAAAGAGACAGGTACCGGCGAGGACCGCGCCCCGCGGACTTACATCGTCCGGAGGGAAGTCGTAGCACTCGGAGATCTTCTGGTAGAGCTCCCTGACGGTGGAGAAGCCACAAATTAGTCCAGTGGGGGAGCCGTGGGCTTGCTGGCAGTGGAAGACGAGGGGCTGCCGCTGAGGAGTCGGCGGTGCGGACTGGTTGTGCAGCAGCTCTCGCTCGCCGCCGTAGCGGCCACCATCCAGGTCGCCGTTGTGGCCGTTGGTGTCGCCCAGCCCGCCCAGCACGGGCACAGAGTCGGCCTCCTTCTTGGCGCTCCGCTTGTTGAAGAGCGGCATGTTCTTGAGCATCGCGCCGGCCACCGGCACTAGCACAGGCACTTATTCACAGATTCGTATTCACAGACACATTCATGCACTCAACACTGGCACTCGCACTCGCGGCGCGGAGTCCCGTCCGCGGCGCGCGGCGCTACGCGGCGCAGGGGACTTTAACCTGGATGTCGCGCTGCGGCGCTGCGGCGCGGTGGGCACGGCACGGCACGCCGTCAAGGCCACGCACTGCCACGGCTCCAACACGGCGGACTCGGCCTCGCTCCGCGCACGCAGTACGCACCGGCGTTCTGCTGCAGGGCTGCAGGCTGACTGACAACGCAACGCGGCGAGGCGAAGGCACAGAGCGAGGCGCGGCGCGGCGCGGGTACGCGAGTATGCAGTCCAAGCCCGCGACGTCGCCCCGCCGCGCCCCCCCCAGCCCCACCTCGCGCCGGCCCGGGCGACCGACCGGCGGGCACCGTGGAATTCCCCCTCCACCGCCCCTCCCCTCCCCTCCCCTCCCGCCGCGCCGGCCGAGCTTTCTTCTTTCTCCGGTTAGTCTGTTGAAGTTAGGCCCGTCCCGTCCCGTCATCTTGCCCACCCTCGCCCTGCCAGCCCTGCCAGCCCTGCCGTCATTGTGACTGACGGGCGACGCGGACGCGGCGAAGCAGCGCAGGAAGCACGCAGGAAGCGATCCCAGCGCCCAGGATGCCTCAATCGACTGGACTTTATCTACGGGCCGGTTCCTTTCGACTTGTCATAATCGGGAGCGCGCCCGGAGATCGTTTTCATTGACGGTTCGAGCTGCTGATCCTTATTCTCGGAGCACAGGGTTTCGAAATGGATAACATGGAATCTGAATAAGTGGCGTCAATGGAGCACCTTATTTACAGGACATTTGAGACCCTGTTGTGTCGACTTCAGCTTTTGGCTTTATGGGAATAGGATCTGAGGGTAATATCATAACACATGAATGCAGTATGTAATTAATATATATTAATTCTTAATATATACACATTTAAATAAAATAATTATCCGACATCTATTTATAATAGAAAAAGAAAACAAGATAAAACTGAAATATATTTCCACGCATATCCAGTCAGTGCAGCTCAGAAAAGTCCGCATCTGCGAATGGTAAGTTAAATATACACATTTAACTTGAGACTCTTAGACAAGTTTGGTGCTAAACAAATGACACGAGCATTTCATCGCAACATACAAGGGTGGCTCTAAATATTGAATGACAAAGCATGACAGATGAATGGCGTGACAGTAAGAGGTAAATTCAAACAGACCATAACCTAAATAATCAGTACATCACAAAGCATAGTTACACATTATTAACTCGAGTTCAATATCACATTTTCATTAATAAGGTGTTCAAAAGACCACCAATATTTTTGTTTGCATAGATTGATTTGTATTAAGAGTAGCAAATTGCAGGGGCAGTTAGTTATGGTAGCAGTCATAAACATTCTAATCAACATAAAGAGAAAACAACAATAAATATTCTGACATAGCTGCACACTAGTGTACTCACAAGGAAACATACAAGTTCGCAAGAATAATCTGAATTGAAAAGGACCAGAACAAGTGTTTGAAGTTCAATGAATGACAAGAGAATGAATATAGGGATGAACTCAAGTCCAGGCATAAGCCCTTTGATCAAATTAAAATATATAAGGAAGGTATTTTCCAATCTGTTGCACAAAATTAACACCCTCCTGTCGAGATTTTTAAGACCTACTACTCATTAACATAGGGTCGTGTTTGACCTCGCATGTGGTCATATCGGCACGGACGTACTACAGGAAAATTCCAATGGAACTTTTTATGAACAATCAAATGGAAGAACTGTACACATTGATACACACACATGAAGGCAGTGCCTGAAAACAATATTCCAGGACTCCTTCCTATGAGATAAAGAGTCTTGAAGAAACTTGACAATGCGTCTTTCATATTTGAACTTCCATACTCTACAGACCCAAAAGAAAACAAGAAATAAAAACTAAACTAAAAAACACAACAATAAAATAGTTCAACTTCAGTCATATACCAACCAAAATACTGAACCTACATCTCTTTGGTTTAAATTTTCTCTCCAAGCAACTCCACACATGATTTACGTTTTAAAATCAGAAAAAAAAAAAGGTTGAATTTTGATGCTTTCTAACACAACACTACCAAATTAGCGAAAGGCAAGAGGGATGCCACACTTAATAAATTAAACAATGGATTCTTTTTCCTCACAATTGTACCATAAGTAGTATCTAAAGTCATAAAACAATATTTTTGACACTTTTCCATCAGGATAAACAATACAAAAAAGGAGGGAAACAGCAGGCCAAATGGTCAAAATAATGTAGCTAACTTGTTAAAGATACAAGAAAGCAAGGGATTTGAGAGAAGTGCAAGGTAATGACATGCTACTAAGTCACTTCATGGCACATAGCTCCAGAATCATTGTAAAGATAAGGGAAAACATACTATTATAATCAAGACACTGCGGAAGTAGACCGTCAACAAACTGGATATTCCTCTTGTACATCAACATGATGTACTTTTCCATCAACTGGAGTTCATTACCATACAACCACTGACCAAAACTATTATTGTCAGTGGCAGTATGCTACATGATACAATACAACCATGCTGATACACAAATGTTTCATAACCAACAAATGAAATTAACACGAGGATTTGAAATATGTCTCATAAAGAAATGGCCAGATAATGAAGCAGAGTACAAGTGAAATAAACTAAAATACATTAAAAATATTGACTACTTCCAAAATAGCCTGGTTAAAATGGCTGCCTGGTATACCTCAATCATATGACTTACATACAAGTATAGTATACTGCAATGCCCACATTTTGAAAGGAACACACTTCACAAAGATGCCAAACACTTCTAAACAATCTAGAACTATTAATATCAGCAACAGAAATTTGCTGCTATCCACTGTCATTAAAGGAAAATTATTGTTATTATTACATTTCAATGGCAGATTTAATAAGAGAATTTGATTAGTAATATCTAATGTTCAACATATGCCATCTAGGCAGAGCAAAATGAGTTAACCCTTACACAAGACAATGCAGAATTTCAACAAATGATTATCAAATAGCAATATTTCAAGAGAACATATAATCATGAATAAAACTGATAGGTGAAATAACACAGATATTCAAAAATTAAGAAGTTTACAATGTGGCCCATCAATGAAGTCTCTGAAGATAATTTTCCTATTCAACACTGATTTGATTCATTGTGCAGATAAATGCATTAAAGAAATGGCTACAAGTTAAATCTTAGTTTTATTCATCAGTCACGTACCTTGTGAAGAAGTGTAATGGTTCCAAAAGCGTTTAAATAGAATATAAAAAGTTTGTAGTAAAAATAAGACCCATTGCAATAAGCACCTTGCTTGTAGGGGCCCAAACCTTAGGAAGAATTTATTAGTCTATTTCACCACTTGGATGAATGAATTCTCCCCTGAATTGGTTACAAATTATCTGAATCAAATCAGTGCCATTCAGTTACCCAGTATGTGAACCTTTCATAAAAGATCACAAGAAATAAACAAGGCTAGAAGACACGCGCATGAAAGTAAGGTAAGTGATTATTTAAGACGACAGAACTCCGATATGTGTCAAACCCACATTTACACAAAGACTGCTTTAGTATAACCCAGAGAATTCATTCTGCTTTGATTCACATTTCAACTAGAGGGGAAATGCATCTCTTTAAATTTTCTGAACAGAATAATCACTAATGGTTACACTGGTTAAACACCTGGTATCCCAACACTGACCGGACATACGTAGAAAACAATGCACACCACACCACAACCACTCAAATCACAAATGTTGATAAATCAACAAGTTTCCTATGTTTGAATGAAATTTTGCTGAAAGTCAGTTCTGGGGTTACGGTGGGTCAGCACAAATTCGGTCTAAATAATATCAGTGACATTTAAGGAAACAAGTTGAGACAGCAACATCAGTGCCAGCTTACAGCCAATGACTGCCATACAATATCACAGTGGCACTATACCCCTATATTCACAAAATTTAAATACTTGGAGATTTTAAATACTTCCTCAAAAAACATTATTCAGATTTTTGCTCACCACATTTCACGGGGATCCATTTCCAGAGGAACAAAAATAAATGATTCGCAGTTAGCATTGCCCTATATTATTGGTCTCAATCAATCTGAATCCTCCTCCTTTAATTTCTCCAACCCCGCAAGATCAACATTTGAAACAAGTCCTTTTAATAAGGCATATTCAATAAGGGCTAAATGACAAAACACATACTGATCTGGCATTTGAATAGAAAAGGCCCTTTGTGATCTTATTCGTTCTACAGTACCACGAACATCTACAGTCCCCACATCTTCCAATCGGGCTATGCAAATATCTAATGTGCAGAAAGTTCCTGAAAATAGAGGATAAAGATAAGCATTATTTTTTGAACACGCTCATATTTTTTAAGGTAGTACTGTACTTGATGTTACCTGTCCTGCCGATTCCTGCAGAGCAATGGACAACAATAGGAGGACCTTTAGGGTGTCCTGCCCAAGTATCTCCTAAAGCAGTAACCATATTAGCCTGCTGAGTTCTGACTCGGTCAAGGAACTCAAGCATAGCCTGTGCTGATTGAGGAACTCCGTAATCCGGCCAAGAAGTAAATTGCATGTGACTAACTGTTCGGCTTTCTTCCGTCTGTTAAAATAAAAGTAATTGTTAAAATGGCATTGAAAGGAAAGAATTCTGTTCATGTCAGAAAGAAATAGAAACTCCACTCTACCTTAGTATTAGTGAGTGTAAGAGAAGTGACGGTGTAGTCATCATTCTGTTCCATTGCACCACTTGTGACCTCAAACTGTCCAAAGGTGAGGGCTGCTCCTTCTTCTGGAGGCCAATACTGACCACACTTTGTACGGCCTCGTTCTACAACTCTAGTAGTCATAACAACCACCAAAACTTGCTGCTCCCATATCATTCTCCAAAAGTCCACTGATGTTTTAGGTAGCGGACCTTAAGTCAAACAAAGACAGGTTAAAGAAATTTACTTTGCATTTAGATGTAAATGAGTTAGACTTATCAAGCAATTTACCTTGAGTCGAAATAAATGCATTCTTTTGCTTGTATCCGTCAACAAAGTTAGCATTTATGTAATCACTGCATGTGTCATCATCAATTTGAGAAAGGAGGACCCGGCTATGATCAAAGCACAACACATCCGAATAACGGTTTTTGGGTGCATTTTGACGCATTCTGTGAAGAAAATCAAATCCTTTTAGTTACCTTGTTACATAAACATAGAGACAGAGGAAAATGCATTGTAATGATTTTACAAACCTCGCATGGTTAAAAGATCCATCTGCCTCCCTAAGCTTTATTTCCACATACTCAGCAACAAGTTCTGAATGTCCCCTATTGCGAACATATTCAACAAATTGTTCAATAGATAATCCACCACTGATATCACAGTGCAGACTATCCTCAGATGAAAAACCACTGCTAGCTGATGAAGGAGGAGCAGGAGATGATGCTTCTGCAAATTCAAGAATGTAATGAGAGGAAAGAACCAATGCACAAGTTCAAGAAGAAACATGAACATGGATCCTAGGATATCACACCTCCATTAACAGCATGATCCCAAGAATGAGGATTAAGACTAGCAGATGCTATTTCAGCATCATCTTCATCTTCGTTATCATCGTCATCATCACCATCTGGCACAAATTCTCCATGATCCATGGTTTTTGGTTGATTATTACCATTTGTGATAGAAACGTCTTGATCCTGCTAATAAAAAATTTTGAAACTAAAAAATTTTGTTCTAGAGAACCCATGAGGGTACAAAGTGCTGGAAATATACCTGAGGAAGCTGAGATCCAGAGCCTGCCATTCCATTTGCAAGAAGAGCTTTTGTAGCAGCGTCAGCAGCAGCAGCAACGCTGGATGACACCGACAGGGAAAGGGACGATGACGATGAAGTCAAGTCAGCTCCATCGTTAGTCAAGGTACACTGTGGCCCAGCCCCTTCCCCTGTTCCATCACCATGCTGTTCCCGGTTAGTCATGGAGCGGAGGCAATGGAGCAACCAAGCTTCATGATTCACTTCCAGAGTACCGCCCAGCTTCCCTGGCAACGACTCCCTGGGAATATGGAGGGCCAGCTGCAAGAACATTCCACAATCAGTTCACAGTTTTTCCCATTTTAAGATTGAATGTATCATCAAGTTGTTTACCTGCGGTACACTAATAGTGAACACACGATCCCGAAGCTTCTCTCGAACAAATAACCTTAGGATTTTAAAAGGGGCTTTGAACCAGAGAGGTGCTGTCACAATCAACACCTTCTTTAATTTAGCTGGATATCCACCCTGAAAACAGAAGAGAAAAACTAATTATAACAGGGTGGAATGAAAAATGCACACATAGTGCAGAATTACGCATGGCAACTAAATGTGCAATACGTGGTCCCTAAAGATCTAATCTATGAACACCGCTAGAAGAGAGCCTGACGCTATGTACGAATCCCCTCTGTCCTCTGCCTCATCAAACTCTATGTCCCCTGGAGCAGCCTTGCCTCAAGTCTGCAGGAGACGTACAGGTGCAGGGGAGGAGGCCGCCACCCGACCATGGGCAGCCCCAGCCCAGAGCCGGGCCTAAGCCTCGGTGACCCGGGGCCCAGAGGGGGCCCCGCGCCTCCCGCCTTCAGACAGCTGCAGCGGCAGGCTTCTAGACTAAGCCAAGCCGAGCTGACGGCTTGCAGGGCTTGCAGCCTCTGTGGCTCTTTGGCGTCCGGCCTCGACCCCCTGCCCCTGCCTGCCTGCCTGCCCAACCCGGCCGCCTAGTGCCGGAAGAAGAGGCCACGCCGCGGAAGCATCGCAGCACCGCCAGACCTCCAGTGCCGTCAAGTGTTGTCGGCTGCGGGCCGGGCCACTACGAGTGCAGACTAGGCCAGCAGGACGGGGCGGACGCCGTGCGCCTCGCCGTGCGCCGCCCAGGACCGTACAGTCGCACAGTTGTTAAAATTATCCCGGTACTACGGCGCCGAGTGGCGGCCCAGTGGGCCACAGCGCAGTCAGCCGCGCACCACTCGCCTCACGTCGGATGTTCTGCGCCGCTCGGCCTGCACGGCGGCCTGCACGGCGGCCTGCACGGCGGCCTGCACTGCTTCGAGCAGCCAGCTGTCCACTTCACCAGAACTACTACCTTTGTGGCGACGCCCCACCCGCGACGGCGGCGGTACCGCGAAACGCGGACGACTACTTTGACACGAAACGCGTTGCGCGTTGCCTCGAGATGGACAAGGTTCCTTCAATGCTGCCCGCTGCCACAGCACGGCGGTGGCTGCGGCGGCACCTGCAGCAATTCGATCGATGTAGAGCCGAGCGGCGCGGCGCGGGCCAGAGGGGTGGCGAGGCGAGGGTAGGCGAAGGGGCGCGGGGAGGGGAGGGGAGGACGGGCCGCGACGGGCCGCGATGGGGGAGCGACGAGCGAGCGCGACCCGCGAACTGCTGCTAGGGGTGCGGAGACGCCGTCCCCCGCCCCGCCCCAACCCTCGCCTCTGGCACCGCTCGATAAAACGAACGGCGGGACGGCCAGTGCTGCCAGGCCGAGACGGCGGACGCCAAAATTCCCCTCCCGCCGGTGGACGGGTCGCGTCTAATTTCCCTGACGACTAAGAGTCACTGTGCAGTCCAGGCGAGCCACTCACTGACCAAGGAAGCGTTGCCAATTTTATACACAAAAGGCATGCACAAAAATTTAACATCAATCGTGTGAGACATTTCAATTTGCATGAGCAATTAGAAATTTAAAAAGAGAGCGAAGAGTCTGAGTTAATATTGGTGGGAGACCTTGCTGAGATAATTATAACCATGCAGGCATGTCAGCCCAAGAGGTAAACTCAGTGTCAGGCAAAATGCCAATGTGAACTGACGCCTAATCTTTAAAGTTGGTTTGTTCTTGCAGTTCGGAAAAATAGGAAAGGCCATGTTGTGGGTCTTGTTTACTCACCTTCAGCAGCGTTAAGATTTTTTGACTGAGTTCATAATCAAAATTGGAATATTTAGAATCTGACATATCATAGATGAAGACAAGACCACATCGTTGTGTGTCAATGCTTTCAAGCGCAACATCTAATTGATAAACAACACCCTGCAACAATGAAAACACCTTTAAATCTTAATTCCTTCAAGTCAAGTTAGAATTTTGATCAAACAAAAGAACAATAAAATTTGAAGTAAAGACCTCACATTAATTTTGAATGTGAAAAATCACCATACCTGCAAGGTGGTTTGATGAGAGGATTCCAAAGGAGAATGGACTCGTGCTGTGAATACAGCTATAGCTGCACCACTTTGATCTCGTGTTGGCTGAATACAACAAGAAGATATGTAATTATATATTTAAAACACAAAGCAACAGAGGTGAAAAATGTTGATAGACTTACCAATACAGTAAATTTCCCTGTTCTCAGCTCACTTTTCAAAGGATCCTGATTAGGGTCAAAATTAACAAGTCCCTCTCGTTGTCTGGTTGCTTCGTGTGCTTCGTATAGTGTAACAGCACGTGCTACATCCCATTTACGAGCAGCCAGAAATTTAGTGGCAACAGACCATGTAACAGGAGATGATCGACTCTTCTGCCTGACGTTGTTGACTGTATCAATAAATGCCCTTGTAGCCTGTAAATACAGAATAAACAAATAACATTAATGTGATATGACCTTTTAGATAAATAAAATGGACCCATAGAGTTTCTGGGTTGTATTTGCTGCGCACAACATCCAATCTAAATAATATTTGGTAGCATGAACATTCCACCTCCACAATTTGCATTCCAATCACACAGCAAACAATGCTAAACTAGAAAAACGAGCATTAATGGAAACATCTTTAATAAAAAAAATGCATAGCCAACAAATAAATTCACACAATGTCCTGTGACAAAGAAGAAACACATAGTTCAAATATTTTATCTAGAATATTTAAACAGAAATTGTTTCTTATTTGTTGTCATGCACATATTTTTGGCCACTCAAACATTCATCTAATGCCGGTATACTACTACTTAGCTACCCTAAAATCTCCAAGTCAAAGAGGTGGAAGGCTTCATAGCTTCCCTGAATAATCAGCTAACATTTTTGGTACAAATGACAAATAATGACTTTCTGTACATGAAAGCATTAATCACATTAATATGTTAACAGCTTTTGCATTGTCAAGAGAAGCTATTATCTAGTTGATAGAGAGATCCTTGAGGAAAACCTTCCAGACAATTGAAGGATAGTTTTAACACATGGGCAAGAGAAAAAATTCTTCCAAAAGATGAAAACAAACATCTCAATGTGAAATTTCAGTTAGTCAGAAAATGAAAAGTGCAGTGATATAAAGCAGTGACTACAGGGGTGCATTTCTATAACAAAAACATAAGAAAGATTCTCCATAGTTATCCAATGAAATCATTTCATTTCTTGCAATGGCCTGGATATCTGGTCCAAAATAATTGTTAGTTCACCAACAAAGCAACACAAATTGATCTCACACATCATAAAAATATCAAAGACACCCATGTACAGAAGCTGCAGCTGGAGCTTCAAGACACATGGCGCAATAGCCACAGGCTGCTTGTGAGGGCGTGAAGCAGTTAACTACACAGTGCACATCTATGAATCTTACGTTGAACGACGGCCAGCCTCCACTAGAGAACACCAAGACTTAGCACCAGACACATCTGTACAGAGGTTGTTTTAGTCAACAATGGAATTCCACCAAACAATATAATTTTCAGGTCAGATGTCAAAGAGGATCTCTCATTCTAGAAATAAAATGTTTGAGAAAGACAGTTAATAATTGTTATGTGGATCAAAGAAGCTGCAGCAAATAACAACAGAAAGTTTTGATCACCCAGTTACACATCTAGAAATGTTTCTTAACCTAAGAGAATTAATCTCTAAGAGACAGAAGGATTAATATTATCTTAAAAACGGTTCAAATGTTTAAGAAAGTATTCAGGAATTCACTATTTTAGATTGTCATTGAAAGTATCTGCTTCAGCCATAGATATACTGTTAAAAGAAAGATGCAAAACTCTCTCAAAAATAAGAAAACAATACCAAAAGACCAAGGCCTAGGAGGCAAAGTTTCAAAAACCACTAACGCCATCAAAAGATTTAAAACAGCTGAGAGTAGTGCATGTAATGTGACCATACCAGTGCAAAATCCAGCAGATGACAAGTCTCTAATGACTAAAAGCAACCATTGTAGAATTCAAGCTGTAATTGCTTTCAACTAGAAATACAACAAATACCGACATGAAATTCAAAAGGCTAAATTGCTTGAGAACCTCCTGTTAAGAGCATCCCCACACAGCATAAATGAACAAGAATTCCAATGGCCGAGGCCGAACGGGAGCACGACTGCTCCATGAGGGGGAGCAGGAAATTTAAAGAATTCATATTGTAAGCCCCGTCATAGCACCTCACACTAAAAGAGTACAGGTTAAGGAAACATTACAGAAGGCGATCAGGCAAGTGACAGGAATAAGCCAAACAAACAGGACGAATCTGACCCGAGTAACAAAAACAAAATCTTACGAGAGTGAGATGGGAATTGAGGTGTTGAAAACAAAATGTTTATTTTAAAGAAAATATCAACTTTGATAGGGCGTAGCACTTAGAGCTGTCAAACAAGTGATGGCCTACGTGGGGACTCTACGTACATAGCTTAATTCACGTTATAAGTCAAATCTAAATGCTGTCTATTTTTTTGCTAATAAGTCAACAGAGCGCTTCACGAACAAACAACCGCTCTTCAAGTAAAACTGGCCGTTAACATTGAACAAATTCAAGAAAACTTACCAGTTCATGATCGGATGATAGTGAATTCGCCATCTTGGTTTGTTAAAGCGGTAAATTGTTTACAGCAGAGATTGAATCAAGGTTAAATGGAAGTAACAATGAGAATAAAAACGTAGGCAACAGCAGGAACACTATAAAAAAGGAAACTTTTAACGCAGCAAGTGTTTCTTATTGTTGCATATGTTTTGCAGCAGCGATTTCAAAGATAACTTTGATCTCTGCCGGAAAAGTATGCGAAATTCATTGCAATGGAACGCCTCAACAATTTCTCATAAAGTTTCAAGACTGGTGTGAAAGTGCCATATTTAAGGTATTTGACGCTGCAAAAGAATGGCTGTGTCCACTCCGTGCTTTCATATTTTTATACAATGCAGTCCTCCGCAATGTCGGCTTCATATCCCTTCGGGTAGGTTAGGTAACGTTAAGCACCTTGACCGGAAACGCGTTTCTAGCCTCAGACGAGTCTCCCCTCTAGTGTTGCCTGATCCGACCGCAGAATAGGGCAGGCTCACATCTCGACAAGCGACGATCATCTGGGGATCAAAACGAGCGGCAACATTCAAGTAGTGTTCTCGTAATTAAGCATGGATCATTATTTTACTTAAATGCGTTTTTGCTCAGGGAATACTAACGTTCGCTTTGCACGCTACAGCTGCCTAGGAGTCAAAATTGCTTCAAAACAATTTCCCTTAATGAAAGTGGGGCCCGCAGTAGCAGCGTCCGCTACCAAGGCGCCCATAACCTCCAACCACATCGCTTTTATTTTTTCATGCGAAACGTTATTATAATTTCAGTGAATACGCATCCTAGGTAGGCGTTCATGCTAAGAAATACAAGGCAAGTGCATAAATCGATCCAAATGCCCGATAAACAGCAGAAAAGAAGTCAAAATTCAAGCTTCCCGCGAGAATGATCCCCAGATGGAAGGGAACGTTGTTGGTCCCATCACCGCTAGTGACTCGCAGAAGCTGTTGTGAGCCTGCCCTATCCGCCATACCGAGCGGGACCGAGGCACAAGGCCCCTAGGCAGTGAAAGATCGCATCCAACACCAATCAATGGCAATAATGGTCCATTTGTTTACGAAATCGACGGTTTTTGGGTAAAAATGTGGCTTTGCACGCGACGCGAGTGATGATTTCAAGCAAGAATGTGGTGAAAGTGAACTGAAAGTGTTATCAAAGACTTGAAATGGCGTTGGTGACTGTTCAGCGCTCTCCAAGTGTCAGCAACTCTCCCTCAACCTCTGTAAGTAGGCGTGTTATTTTCCTTTGACGAAGAGCTATTTTGCCGCGGAGGACGTGTTTAATTGACCGATTTCATGTTCCAATGATTGTAGAGCAGACTTGCCTATGTCTGGTTATAGGTTATGTTGCTTACAGTCGTTTATTCGCTCAATATCGAGCTCTACGCGAACGTCAACAATGGAGTTCTATCCTGTCAGGAGCAAACTCTATCCTGTTTTTTCCCTGCTTTCAATTGAATTAAACAGTCGCCCGTCACTAAGCGAATTCATTTGAATATGATGGTCAATCATGGCAGTGCCTTACAAATTTATTCTAAGATCCTGTTTTCAAACACTCTTACACATTCTAACCTAACCTGTGGCCATTGTCCTGAGACTGATTTGGAAAATTTCTAAATCAAGCCACGCTAGATGTGCATGTGCCCATTTTTTATTCATTTGTTTTTTGTTATTATACTATCTGTAAATGGGTTTCTTTTATGTTTCCGAAGTTGATGTAATTGTTCTTGACATGTCATGGTCAAAGATTTGTTTATTTCAGTAGTCAAGGATCTTAGGGATCTTAGCTGACATTTATGGATTTCTCCTAATTATTGTACCATAACCATGTAATTTCGTCAAATTTTTGAGTTATTTTTCACAAGATTGGCCATGTTTTATTATAGAGATGAATCAAACGCAATGTGTAGTGGATATCTGTTGTGAACTAAGTGGAGCACATTAGTGTAATACGCTTTTCATATACTCAGCTCAAACCTCCCTTGATAAATTGTAGAGAGCGTTGGAATATGGATTTAATGGTTTTGATGTTTTTTCAATGATAAAGTAACTTGCCCACATCAACAACGAGATGTTGGGAACTGCATTGAAGTGGGGCTTTGATTCTGTCAGAAACCATCACAGTTTACACCAAACAGACAACAATAGCATTTTTAAAAATTTAGTTTTTTTTTTTTTTTTTTTTTTTTTTAGCCATGGCTCTAGTGTCATGATGTTGTCTAGCAGGAATAAGCTCCCCCGCCCCTCTCTCTCTCTCTCTTTCTCTCTCGGCACAAGTGTCATGAGGCTCGGAATGGGCACAAAGCTTCATTAGCCTCTTGCAGACCAGGCTGTGGTAAGGGAAAGGGGGGGGGGGGCGGCAGTCACTGCAGTCACCACCGCGACGCGAGCTGGAAGCAGTGTAGCGATTGAGGGATTCCTATCCTAGCCTCGAGGGAAAAAGAGGGGGGGGGCAGGGCGGTGCAAGGTGAGGTTGTTGGCCGTAGCAGTGGCGTAGCAGTGCGTGCATCGTGCATGCCCAACTCCTTCTCCTTCCACGGTGGTGCGGTGGCGCGGTGTCCCCGCCACTCGCCGCCGCTTGGCGGACTCCGCCGCCCCGCCCCGCCCCGCGGTTTCAACTCCATTTCAAGGTGCATGCGGGATTGCCCTTTTGAGCGACTTTTGCACCGCTTTGCTGGCTTTGCGCGCCAGCCGGCCTGCCCCGTGCCGCGCTATGCCCCGTGCCGCGCTATGCCGCGCTATGCCGCGCTATGCCGCGCATCCTGGCTGTCATCGCGACGCCGCGCTACGCGACGCCGGCGTAACGCATAACGCGGACTAGCGCTGTCGACAGTGCAGTGCCCTGCAGGCGGGGCGCCGCGGTCGCGACGGCGAGCCATTTTCTTCGCGTGCTGGTAGTGCTGCCGAAAGAGGTATGAACCCGACGTTACCTCGCTCTGGCCAGCCGCTGGGTTCCGAAGAGCCGCCCATCGCCGCTGTCCCTCTCGCGCCCCACGGCCCTCCGGCACGCCCCGTGAGTGCGAGAGGGACGGAGTGGCGGAACGACTCTTCGGAACGCAGCGGCTGTGATGGGTCTGTCGTGAAGAACGGCCCCTCTGGAGGGGCCTGCTCGACAGCCCTATGCGGGGCGGGGCGGGGCGGGGCGGGGCGGGGCGGGGCGCCACGTACCGGCCGCGGCTCATAATGGTGGCAAAACGTGATGGAACGACAGGCGATGCATCGCCATGCACTCGGCAGCGGCGCGGCCTAGCGTGGCAGGATGCGCTCAAAAAGAAAATACGCTCCAAAAAAAATTAATCACTCGTCAAAGAAACGAAGATCAACTTCCATATCATCCGTGGAGATTTGTCTTTTATTTCGTCTTTTTAGACAGCGGCCTCGACTGATTGGTTCGTTTCACGGTTTCTCGGTGATTTCTAGCTCGACGTTGCCTTGCTGCCGGGCGCTGTCCAGGTCCTGGGTTCGACTCCCGGCCGGGGTTGCCTTCGGTCCCTCTGATTGGTTTCCTAAAGGCGGCATCGCTTCCTGCTGCGCTTGGCGGCTGCACCGCCGCGCCGCCGCGCCCGATGTCTGTAAACAAAGCGTGTGCCGCCGTCCGCAGCCCCCCCCCCCCCCCGGTGCCCCTCTCGGCCCCACCGCTCTGCCCCGCCAGCCCCGCCCGGCCGCGGCGTGGCTGCTGGCCCTGCTGGCCCTGCTGGCTGCGGTGCGGCGGTCTGCTCGGCGGTGTGCTTCTCTCAGCTGTTCAGTTGGCACGCGGCGCTCTGGCCGAGAGGACGCGTGTCCGTGTGCTGCGCGCGCGTGTGTGTGAGTGCCTCGTGTCTTGCAGTGTGCGTGCGCGCGCGTGTGTGTGTGAGTGTCAGTGCCGCGGACCATGTGGTCGGGAGGGGCGTAGTGCCGCCGACGCCATGCTGTACGTGCTGCCGCCCCCGAGCGCCCCGGCGCCGCCGTCGCCCTGGGCGACCATCCCCTCGTCGTCGACCAAGCGGCGGAGGAACGCCAACAACAACCCCTGGCTGTCGGTACAGCAGGGCCAGCAGGGCCACCAGGGCGGTCGCGACGGCGCCGTGCTGCACCCCCAGCCCCCACAGGCGCGGCGGCCGCCCCCTCGGCCCAGCCGGGCCCACGGCCTGCACGGCCTGCACGGCCTGCACGGCCACGGCGTGCTCGGAGCGGCGCACGCCGCGGTGCATGGCGTGGTCCACACGCCGAGCAGGGTGAGTGACACGTCGGCCCCAGTGAACGCCTCGTGGTGGTGGACAGGGCTAGCACACTGGCAGGCAAAGCCCTAGGCAAGCCGACCTTTCTCAAAGACGCTCCAAAAACTGGCCGTCGCCTGCACTGCAAGGCAACGGCCGGCACGGCGCCGAAACAGACGGGACGGCGCGGCTAGCGCGACGACAGGCATCACGGCGGGAAGAAAGAGTGAGAAAAAAGAGAGAGAAATGTCGGAATAATGGCGCCGTCCTCGCCGTGTTCCCGCGTCACGGAGCGAACAGGGGAAAAAACGGATCTAAAAAAAATAGAAAACAAAATGCGACGCGGTTTGTGGGAAGATCGGCGCCGCGGCGTCGCACGGTAGGTGCGAACTTGCACACCTGGTGGTCCAGATGACGCGTCGGGTCATTCCGTCTGTCCGCCCGTCGGCCTGTCTGTCTGTCTGTCTGTCTGTCTGTCTGTATGCCTGTCTGTCTGTCTGTCTGTCTGTCTGTCTGTCTGTCTGTCTGCCTGTCTGTCTGTCTGTCTGTCTGTCTGTCTGTCTGTCTGTCTGTCTGTCTGCCTGTCTGTCTGTCTGTCTGTCTGTCTGTATGCCTGTCTGTCTGTCTGTCTGTCTGTCTGTCTGTCTGTCTGTCTGTCTGTCTGCGTGTGTGTCTGTGCGCGCGGGTTCACACACGCGCGGCCATACCGCTCGCCTCGCCTTTTGCGACAGCGCGCCCTTTTGTTGTTTTCTCTCTGTCTGGCTTAATTAACGCCTTGATTCACCTTGAAAGAGAGAGAAAAGTGACGCGGCGTTTCCCCGGCCAGCGCCGGGCCTGCACCGTGAAAAAATAAACAAACATTTGCCGGGTCTTGCAGTGAAATTAGCAGGCGAAGCCTATTTTGCGCCATTTTCTACGACCGCGCGTATCTTTCCTCCAGTGGCGCGGCGAGGCTCGGCGAGGCGCCTGCAGACCGGCGGGTAGGCAGACCTGCGCGACGGCACGGTGTGGCGGGCTGGCCTACCCGGACTTGCGCGGGCGCTCGACGCGTTTTGAGCTCCAGAGTCGCTAAATGGGACTCGAACCGAACGCGTGACCCCAACCTATGGATTGCTCTCTGAACGAGCAATCCATTGGTGTGGTCACACGCTCGCTTCGAGCCCTGTTTAGCGACTCTGGAGCTTAAAACGCGTCTACTGGAGTCGGCTCCGGCTTCGGGTCGTTTGGTTTGCAATGATGTTTTCTTTTGGGACTGTACCGCTCGCAGGCAGGCAAGGCGGGCCGGCCCGATGGCCCCGTTGGGAGCGCGACCTTAGGCCGCCGTTCCTTCCGCCGCCCCGCCCCGCCCCGGCACGCGGCCCGGCGAAGGTGGAGACTGGATGAGTGGACTGGCGGGCTGACCTCTGCGCAGGGCAGGGCAGGGCAGGCCAGGCAGGCCAGGGCGTACCGCTGGGCGGGCTGGGCGCACCAGGGCGTACCGCCGAGCGTGCGTGCCTGCGTGGCTGACCTACCTCCGCTGCGGGCGGGTGGCTCCGGGCCCCGGGCCTCTGGCGTGCCTCCGGCCCTGCCGGTCCGGTCCGCCGTGTTGCGCCGTGTTGTCGGCGCAAGGCGGCAAGGCGCGTACAGTGTACCGTCCACGCCAAAAAGGCCCGTTATGACAAATTGCGGCGCGCGCGGCGCAAGTCCAGTGAAGGAGACGGTCACACTGCTTTTTGCTCCAGCCGAGTGCCGTCATTTGGGTCGTTTTTAGCGGCGCCCCTGCGAGGAGGGGGCCTTGACGGCGTGGAGTGGGATCCGCGCTGCAGCACCCTGCAGCAGCTTATCGAGGCCGTGATCGAGGTCGAGGCGATAGCGATGCAACGGTTCGTTGGTCTAGGAAAGCAACAAAAAGTGACGAGCAGCGCCGTCGTGTTGACCGAAGCACTCGTCGCGTCGCCGTCAAGGTGTGGGTGTATCCGGCAAGGGACTTATCGGCCGGCCGGCCTTCGAGGGCGAGGACGAACTTGGAGAGGCCGCGGACGTTGACA